GACCCAAAAAAAAAAAAATCCAAAAAGTTAAGTTTGAAAATGTTTAGACATATAGGAAAGTTGAAAGACTAGTTAATAGTTTACCTTGATCCTTGAAAATTGTTAACGTTTTCCTCACTGTATGTACCTCATCTAACCTTTCCATCCATGTATGTTTGTGTCTATGTATCAGTATAGTTTATATAATTTGAGAGTGAGGACAGAAGGGTATTTACACATCCATCCTTGAGTATTTCAACATTCATTCATCTCTTACAAATGAGAATACTCTCCTAGATTACCACAATCCCACAAGCAGCCTAAGACAATGAACAATAACAATAATATCTAATGTTGAATCTGTTTTTTTAAACAGGCTGGATTTGAAGCATTTTCACACACGCGCGCGCGCACACACACACACACAGTACTTCTTTGTTCTCTCAGATACATTTTAGCTGTAAAGGACTCTTAGAGTTATTGTTCTCTCACTGTTTGATGGGCACCATGCTGCGCAGTCCACTATCTTAGGGCAAATATGAAGGCTGCAGGAGGCTCGGCTATGTAGCGGCAGGCTCTGTCCTTGGGTGCTCTTCCCCACTTGTTGGAACTGTGCGCTCTGTATAGACGGCTTCAGTTACTATGTGGTGTGCACAGCTATTCCTTGCTCAGGTGGAGAAATACCATTCAAATCATAGATGTGAAAAGGCATTGGGATTTGTATGTAAATCTAGAGAAATTCTACTTCATTCCGATGTATATAATGAGATTTATTTTCAGAGTTTTAAAATCTATTATAATATGAAACAAAGCAAAACACTTCTCTTGAGGGGATATAAATGCATATATGGGGTATGTCATCAGGCAAAGAGGCAGGATGCGGGACAAAATCAGAATGCATTTAGAAAACAGGTGCAATTTATTCTTGGTGCTACTTTAGTATTTTTCCTATAATGTTAGGTGTGTGTCATACATCTAGAGCTTTCAGGCTAATACTTTTTGAAAGCCTGTGTTTTGTTTACATAGATTGACCTGTCTTCCAAGAGCAGTCTATCTCTCTCTCTCTCTCTCTCTCTTTCTGTCTCTCTCTTTCACCTAATACCATGGAGAAATGCCTATGGGCTAGTTATTACACACAATGTCCTTTGTTTGACTTTGAAATGAACAGAGGAGCTTTCCCTTGCCAGGGGCAAACTGTCCTCCCCAATAACAGTGCTCTTTTTTTTTTTCTAAAAAGATTTTCATGTTAGGTTTTCATAATTCATAATACATGTATTGGATACATATTGTGTGTATACACATCTCTATATCTATATTTATAGATATAGAGGTGTATATGATTGTTTGAAGGGATTAGAGGAGGTAAAGGAAAAGAGAATGTGAGAGAATAAACAATACAAAAAGACATTGGAGCTCTGAATAAAAATAGCAAAACAAAATACAGAAAACTAGCAAATAATTGGAGGTAGTAGGGAAGAGGAAAGAGAGAGTGAGCAAGGGATCAGTCTGATGAAAGTATAGCATATACCTGTGTGACATACCACTGCGAAACCCCTATGAACAATTAACATGCACTTTTAAAAAGTGAATGACGGGAACGTAAAATGAGTGGGCCCTAGTGGGAGAGGTGGGAGGGAGAGCAGAGAGGGTGAAGGACACCAAAGGGGGTCGAAGTACAATGAAGGTTGTTGAGATTGTTTGGGAAAGGGGTGGTGAATCTGATTGGAGTACATTGAATGCATATATGGGCCTGTCAAATGGGCCAGTCTACAACTAATTATTGCTAATAAAAATGTGGGGGGAAAATGAATGGATAGGCAAAAATACCTAAGTTGCAAAAATCAACAATGGTGATATTTCAGGCATCACACAGTCTAAATGGAAGTTTTCATTTTACTCTTAAATGATTGTCCTAAGTAACTAATTTTAGGATGTTACAAAACAACTTGATTTGGTTAATGCTTAAATAACTTGGAGGAAGAAACCAATAGACTGAAGACTAGCATGACCTTTATTCCACTAGCTATTTGTATGCAAGATTTTTCCATTGATTGAAGACTGAGTGTCTCCTGTTACTGGCAGCACCAATTTATCTTTCTCTCTTCATATCTCCCTTTCCTTGCAACAATAGAATTCTTTCTTCAGTCTCAATCCCCAGCATTTGCTATGGTCATAACTTGGTATGTTTAAATTTTTATGTTTTTGACATAACAAATATTATCTCTGGCCACTTGAATTGCACCAACAAGCTTAGTTTCTTTAAGGAAAAAATCAAGTTGGGCTTCTCTCTACATTTATAGGATCTCTGCAGCTGGGCTGTGCAGTTTTGGTTGGCAGTGCTTCTCAAATCACGTAGCACAGGTCTGATTCATGGCTACTGTCAACCTTTGCCTATGGTCCTTTGCTCTGGAGACGATGTGAGCACTGGAGACCCCATGTCTTAAAAGTGAAAGAGGAAAAATCCCAAGTGATTATCTCCTCTTATCTGTTCTTCACCTAATGCAATAATTGCTAGGTGTTGTCTATGATTTGTCATTTTTATATCACTGATGTTGTATATCATATTGCTCACTTTTAGCATGACTTCTCCTTTAAAACATTCTTCTCAACATTGACTCCTACGAGCTGAGCAGTTTATCACTTAATGGATCTGGAGGCAGTGTTATAACCCAGTGGATACCAGCTGAGAATTCAGGTAATTGGATTTTGTTCTTTACCACAACAGGGAGGATCTGCTGTCTGGTCAGTCACCATCAGCCTTAATGGAAGAACTAGTACAGAAAGAAGGCCAGTGTACTGAACAGTTATCTAAAGATTTAGACAGGTGAAATCTAGACAGGTGAATCAGATCATTATGGGAAAATAGACAAAAGTTAAAAAGAGTGAGAGTATAGAGCCGGACACCAGTGGCTCACCAGTGGCCTGTAATCCTTGCTACTCAGGAGGCTGAGATCTGAGGATCGAGGGTCAAAGCCAGCCCAGGCAGGAAGTCTGTGAAACTCTTATCTCCATCTGAAATCCAGAAGTGGTGTTTGACTCAAGTGGTAGAGCACTTGCCTTGAACTGAAGAGCTGAGGGATAGCACCCAGGCCCAGAGCTCAAGCCCTATGACCAACCCAAAAAAAAAAAAAGTGAGAGTAGAGTTCAGGTAACTGCATGGAGCTTTCAAGCCTGGTATATCATTAAATATGTAGGCTTTAGGACAGCCACTCTAGATGACTTCACATTTTCGGATGCCTTACTATTTTTCTGTTAAAGTTTCTTACATTTTTACCTTGGACCTGTTCCCATTATAAGCTATCACTATCACTATCAACATCTTTTAAATTTCTTACAGGCATGGGGGCATGCCTCACACATATGCACAACCAATGATCTCATGTAAAGTTATTGGGGAAAAGATGGAAACAATGAAGTAAGGATTCTCTTAATTTCTACCTGGTCCAACATTTGACTTTCCCTTCTAGTTAGAATTAGCCAGTTCTGGAAGTGGAAGTGTAGCTCAAGTGGTAGAACCCCAGCCTTGATCAAAAAAAGCCAAATGAGAGCTTAAGGCTCTGAGTTCAAGCCCCAGTGAAATAGATAATAAATAAATAGAAGAGAATAGACAATCTCTGCTCTAAATGCCAATCTATTTAGATATAGATCTAATCCTTTCCCTATTTCTCAAGTAATTCACTTCTGAAAATTTCCTATGTCTCTTCAGATATTGTCCTTGTATGAATCACTCTAAAAATGAAACACTCTAGCTCAGAAAAAGATAATAATACATTGGTGATTTAGAATGTAAATATCAATTTAGGATATCAAATTATAATGATGGGCAACAAGTTAGCTTTTAAGTATCTGGACATGGGTTTGGGGCTAATAGTAAGAAGACATTTAGAGTTAGGTCTGGGGAAACAATGGAATATTGAAGGTCTTTTGATGGATTTTGTTTCTTGTATTCTAGAAGAAGTACTTCTCTATATGACAATGAAAAACTACAGTGCTGTCAGCGAGTTTATTCTTCTTGGACTGTCTACTGACCCCTACATTCAGCCTCTACTGTTTGTATTCTTTCTTCTGATATATCTCCTCACTCTGATGGGGAATTTCCTGATGCTGCTGGTGATCACAGCCGATTCGTATCTCCACACACCCATGTACTTCTTCTTGAGACAACTGTCCTTCCTGGACCTCTGCCACTCATCTGTCACAACTCCTAAGATGCTGGAGAATCTCCTTTCTGAAAGGAAAACCATCTTTGTGGAGAGCTGCTTGGCTCAGGCCTTCTTTGTGTTTGCCACTGGTGGCACAGAGGCCTGTCTGCTGGCTGCCATGGCCTATGACCGCTATGTAGCTATCAGTTCCCCTCTGCTCTATAGTCAGGTGATGAGTAACCAGCTCTGTGTTGGGTTGGTATGGGTCTCCTGGGTCCTGGCTTTTGTTGATGCTCTCATCAATATCCTCATGGCTATCAATTTAGACTTTTGTGAGGACCATACTATTCCCCACTTCAGCTGTGAGCTGTCTTCTCTCTTCCTTCTATCTTGTTCCGATACCTCGATCAACTTCACACTCCTGCTCTGCTCTTCTGTCTTGCATTTCTTTGGAACCCTTGTTATGATAGTTTCTTCCTATGCCCGTATTGTCTCTACCATCCTGAGGGTCAGCTCCATCACAGGTAGAAGCAAGGCCTTCTCCACCTGTTCCTCCCACCTCAGTACTGTGATCTTGTTCTATGGATCAGGTTTCATCAGCTACCTTTTACCATCTTCAGGCTCTGCTCTGGAAATGTTCTTCTCTTTGCAGTACAGTGTGATCATTCCCATGCTGAACCCCCTCATTTATAGCTTGAAGAACAAGGAAGTGAAGGTAGCTGTGGGAAGGAGAGTCAGAAAATATTTTCATTTGCTTATGTAACAGACACAAAATCATGATGAAACAGACCCTGCACTGTTATACTATGTGATCAGATATTAGACTTGGAAAGTTTTTGGTTGTCCATGTTGAGTGATACTCCTGGAAACCTGAAGACTTTGCTTTTTTTGGAAAAGTTTGTGAAAAGGACAGAGAACTCTTAAGATGACCAGTCTTATTCAGAGTTGGAAAAATCAATCAGTTAACACTTTTATCCAGAGGATCATTAATGAATATCTATTGGTCACTCACTAATATTTTATACTTTTTCCCCTAATAATTATACCATAAATTCTTATGGTAACTGATTCTCTCAGTTTCATATGGTAATCAAGAAGGAAGGTGTTTTTTTTAAACTAAGATAGGTTAACTCTTCTGTCCCTTTCTCCTGACATTGTGTTACAGCAAGGAGTGAAATCAAGACTTCAGTGAGGTTATTCAGAACCTTCCTCTAAGGAACTCAAATAGCAAACAAACACAAGAAAGAAAGCAAGTTCTTGGAACAAACTGTAAGCCCTCAAGAATTCAGAACTGTAGCTGTCATAGGTTTAATAACAGCAAATATGTTACATTTCTTAAGCTTAAGCCAAGAAGAACACTTAAAGCTCTTGTGGCAGAAAGATGCCACCCTCTGAATCTCTGGAACCTGTACATATCCTACGTTAAATGGCAAAAGGAATTGAGAAGATGGAATTAAAGTTATGAAATAGGAAGGGTATCATGGGTTATCCAGGTCAGTCTAATTATATGAATCTTTAAAAGCCATGAACACTCTCCAAGTATAGGCACGAAGAGGGGTCATGATAGTATAAGCATAGGGAAGATTCAATGCCCATTGCTGGCTTTTCTGATAGAGGGAGCCATGAACCAGTACTGTGGACAGCTGCTAGAAGCTGAGGACCTCACTAGTCATGAACCAGCCAACAAGAACTTCAGGGAATCTCATAGAATTCATGACACTGAGCTCTGACAACACCCTGAAGTAGCCTGGAAATGAAGCTTGCTGACACGTTGCTTCTTGGCTTTGTGTAATATAGAATTTGAAAACAGATGAGCCCATCTAGACTCTGATCTAAGGAACCATGACGTAACACATTTCTATCATTGTAAACTACTAAGTTTGTGGTAATTTGTTGTGGCAGCAATAGCAAATTAATATGGTACTTTGTTACCTTCTAAAATCCTACCACGAGTCCATGGAATAAATTCAGTTGTCAGTTCTTCTCTACTGCTGAGGAAATGAGATGTGAGATGACAGTACGCCCATCTCACGCTTCATAACAAGAAGGTGGAGCTGGAACTCAGCTGGAGTAGTCCAACTGAACTGAACTATGTTGACAGTTATTGAGCTACTGCTCCTTTCCATAATTATATACTACCCAAGTCAGTTGCTTACAACCAAAGATGGTAACTGAGCCTAAAATGACTATCAAAGGTGAATTGTAGGCTAACAGAACTTCAATGAAATGCATAGCATTTTGAATAAGACACTACTTACTTACTTACTTATTGTTGCATAATGTTATTACCTTTACACATATCCACATATCCACAGTCTTTTCTCTTATAGTAAGAGGCAACCCAAAGGGGGCTTTTGCTGAACTCTGAATTAAAAGTCCCCAAAACTTCCTATCTGTGCCCTTTGATCCAAGCTATTCTCTGCTGCAGTCCCTTTGTAACCACCTTGGGCTCCAGTAGAGAGGATTCAGTGAAACTCTGCTAGTGTGGAAGATAACACCTCAAACAAGCACTGTTTTCTTATTATCTTAAAGAAAACAGTAAACATCTCAGAGGGTCACCTTGTTCCTATTCGGTTCCAGTAATAAAGTGATGACAAAGACTTTGTGCTCTAGGGACAAAGAATGAGATAAAGGTCAACAGGGTGATTTGGGACTGTTTGAACAATACATACTTTTCTCACTCACTGCCCCTATTTCTCTATTCTATCTGAAGCCAATCTCTGTACCCCTGAAGATGGCTGAAGATGTACTGAAGTGTTGTCTTCCCGTGGCTGCCATATGATAAATCTCCTTTTCTGCCTTTTACCTCATTTCTTTATTTGGCAAATGAGGACAAGTGGTTAGACCTAACTTGGGGCCCTGGACTTTAAGGCCTGGGGTCTAAAAACTCAGTTTTATTATCTTATTTGCTATTTTTAAAAATCAGTATTCAAGTGCCTACTTATATTAGTCTTTGTATTCCAAG